AATAGAATCTAGTGAATATTCCCAGGATTCAATCTTTCCACGGTGCCCACATTTCTTTCTTTCAGAAGCTGTCAGTGGTGCATTTTGTTTCCTCTATCTTTTCTACCTTTTCTTCCTCACACCTGTTACACAGGAATGAGTCACCCTAAAAGCAAAACCAGAGTTCAAAGGATTTACCATAGCATGTATAGTAACACATTGTCCAGGACTCGAACTGTATTCTTTATTTTTTAAACGTCTAGCCTAAATCCCCACTCAAACTAAACACTCCATTGGCCACACTGGGCTGACATTCGATGTTAATATACCGTGCTGAGCCCTCTGTCTAAAGAAGTCTATGTTCCCACAAGAAGGTGTGCATCCTAGTCACATTGTTATGTAAGGCAATTCTTGAAGCATCTAATAAATGTGAGTGGAATATCCCAACTCCCGGTTGCAGTTGAGATGAAAATGGCCGGAGACTGATATGGAACAGACTAATCAGCTTCTGGACATTGCGACGAAGCCCAGACTCAGCCAAAGACTAAAACAGAGTATTTGAAAACTAGAATCTTTGCTCTCATGTGCTCTTTCACTCATTCATTCCTGAGGTTGAGCTCTTCCATCTCCACCACTTGTCCCTCTGTCAAGCTGCTCAGGCTGGCCTTGAACTCCATCTGTATCTGTAGCAGGTCTTGAATTTGAGATCCCTCTGGCCCTGGCCTCCCAAGCAGCTGAAATTACAGGCCTGCACTCTCAGGCTGGACCTAAATGAGTGCATTTGAAGTTCAGTTTGTTCTGCAGAAAATGAATCAGTCTTCCTTTATATTGGATTTTCATATGTTAAAAAAAAATTCCAGGAGCATGTCTTCTTGCTGTTGCCTTATTCTGGTGTCCATTTTTGAGGACTTGATTGTACAGTGTAGTGCAGGCTGACCTTGAACAGAGAGGCTCTTCCTGCCTCAACCCCACAGGTACTCTGGGGGGCATTCCTGGGTTCTAGTTATGATGAACTGTAGCAGGTATTAATGTAGTATCTGTTAAAAAATCTAGCAGAAGACATTATTCTGAGTATAGAGTAAGTAGAAAACAAGCCCTAATGCGCCAAGTTGCATCTTAGGTTTACAGATGTCTGTCGGGGAGTGAAGCGTTAATTTACTTCAGAATGTTCAGCCTGACTGTTGAAGATGCATTTTAAACTGCAGAGCACTTTGACTGATTCCAGAGCCATGGCCATGCCACTTGCAAACCATGCCATGGGCCTGGAGTCCTGGCTGCTTAGGAATACTGAATCACTGGATAGCCCAAAGTACAACGGGCTAATGGGGTCTTTGCTCTGACTTTGATGAAGAGTGAAGTAAATGAGGCCACAGCTTTATTATGTTGCTACTCTCCTTTGTAAGACTCATGAGCAGAAATAAAAAGAGCTAGAGGCCCTAATGGGGCCGCCACCACATTTCGGTGTTATTCTTGGTATCGTAATAGACCCCCATGTGGTTCACCAAGAGGTAGGAAAGTGAAACCTGTTAGCAGGAGCGTTGGTTGTAATCTATGTTTTTGATTATCGATGACAGGATCCTAAAATTACACCCAAATATCTCTCACCGGTTCTGAAATTGAGTTTCTGAAAAAGCACTGCAGAAGTAATCGGAGGTAAAGTGCAGAGTTCCAGAGAAATGAGCTGTGAATTGAGCCTGCAATGGAAATTGATCCTATCAGTCAGCTTCTGCCCTATTCTGAGAGAAGGGGGTGAGGGAAAAGGAGGCAGGGTGGCTGATTAAATAGGATACTAAGAGCTGGAGGCTAGAAATGGGCTTGCTGGTCCCTAGGGTCAGGAATGTAACTGTCAGGCTTCTCTGCTGGAAGCCTGGCTCAATCTGGCAGAAAGAGAAGGAAATGAAAAATGCCCTGGGCCAGTGTGGGAGTCACCAGAGCTTTCTGACTAAGTTCCCTGCAGTGGCTGCCCTGGTGCTCCCGGGGGAGGCCGTTCTGGTGGCTCATCTTGAGCCAATGAGCTTATGGTAGACCAGTTGGCCTTATGATTCACACCAATGGGGTTTGTCATTAAGCCCCTCTCAAAAAGGTGGGGTGTGTCAGTGTGTCCTGAAGCTGTGGGTGCAGAGAGAAAAGGCCTTGGAATCGATTCCTGTTCTCAGCCCTGTCTTTGGGATTCATGTGGAATGAGGAGCAAATATCCTGTAACTACTGGTCTTGTGTATATAGTTTATTGCCCTGTTATCTAACTGGAGGAGATCTATATTGCTCCCATAGAATGGCACTAATGGCATGCCCAGGGAACATGGTGAGTGAGGGTGGTATTTGTATTGTACTCTCAGGAATGCAGTGTATGTTCCAATTAGCCTTGCTGAAGCCCCGCATTTCTGGTTATGGAGCTGCTATTGTGTGATCTGTTTCTACAACGATGCCCTTCAGAGCCTTGTGTGATCATCAGTGTAACTCACCATCGTCAGTGTCCCCTTGGAATGGCTTGTTCACAGTTAGCAGATATTTCTGCAGAAACTTTAAAACTGAAGGTATCGTAAAATGCTAACCTAAGATGATGCGAGCCTTTTAAAGCCATAGCTGGTTCAGATCACACTTTTCAGACTGGAAGAAGAAAGAGGAAGAAGGTTGCTTGGGAGGAATTGTCGAAGGCTTAGACACTGAACTTGATGTAGCCACAATATCATTAAAGAGAGAAAGCTGTCATGGGTCATGGCAGCACATGATATACCACTTACATTCTTATATTCTGGGGTGCATCTGTCTTTTGACATGGTTGTTCACGTTTGGTTTGGTTTGCATGTGGTTTTTGGTTTTGGAGATTGCCCTTGGGTCCTCAGACGAGTGTTCTGATACTTGGCTCCACTTGCAGCTGCTGATGTGTTAGTATTTCTGTTTGCTTTGTTGTTTCTTGTTTATGTGATTAACTACCTCTGCTCACCTAACTTTGCCTCTGGGCCCTAGCAAGAGAAAAAAACAAACAAACAAACAAAAAACAATAGTATCCACCAACAGTGGACCATTCAATCATTAATTTGTTGATTCAAATTCTGTCTCCAGCTTTTAACAAGTAGGAGAAGTGGCCAGGAATTAAAGTCAAAGTGACTATAATGATGCCCTATTGATATGATTCATAGCTACCTCTGTTGGCACTGACCCTGCCACACTGGTACCAACATCTCAGTATATAACAGAGAGCTGCATACCGTGACAAAAAGCCTAAATAAAGTGTGCCAGGAAACAGATGTGTCATGACTTCTGACAGACTTCCTTCTCCACAAGCCAAAACTCCACACATTAGCAACGGTACCCTATAGAGAGTATCTGTGGACTCTCCTGGTCACTGAGCTGACTAGGAGCTTTGCTTGATTGCTCTGTAAACAGGAACCCTGGAAAAGGACCAGAATTCCAAATGCAGTTTCTCTGTAATGTGTGTCTGCTTTTGTTTCCATGTGAAGTTAAAAAAATTGTCAGGGAGAGTTCTTTTTAGAAAGTATTTTCATTGGTTCTTTGAGGATTTCAAGCTGAACATACTGCTCCTGTTGACCTAACTCCTTCCTCCAGCTCCTCGAAGGTCCACTTCTACTCCCGACACCCTCCTAACTTCATGGCCTCTTTGGCCGTTACTGTTTTAATAACAATAACAAGGTTTTAATAACTGAGTCCAATCTGTTCTGCTCATATACTTGTAGGTGTTGGTCCTCTCTGGGCTGTGGCGGACCTACCAGGGGATGAGAGACATCCTTAGTTGGGGGCAGTCCATCTTATGTAGATGCTTGTGTACAATAACTTTGTATTCAGTTGATTCGGAGCTTGATGAAACTGGGCAGTGAACACCAGCCTCTTCATCCAGGAGTTGAGCCAGCATACCTATCTACTGCTAATTATAACTCTCACGACAATACTGGTTTTAGGTACTTTGTCCTGGAGATACCTGATTTCTGCCAATGTACCTGCTTCCTTGGCAGATGAATGAAAAGGTTGGGACTTCACTTTGTCTTGCTGGAATTCTAAAGGGCACTAACAAAGGAAAAGGAGGCCTGCCTTCTGTGAAAATCTTGCCAGCAGACAGACAAAACAAGTGCTTAACTTTCTAATCCTTGAACAGTCCTTTGTTTAAGCATGCATTTTCTTAGGTAAGATGTAACATATGCAATGTATAATCATTTTCCATTGAAAACTATTAAACTGTCTGGGCAATCAGTCATAGGGTGGTGACTAGAACCCTGGGAAAGCACCTGTGGACAGTCCTGTGGAGACCTGATTATGCAGAAAGATAGTGAAGGGATGCCTCCCAATCTGCAAGAGATCTTGAGTTCCCTGAAGTTGTCATAAACATCTGAGTATTAAAGCATTAATAAAATTCGGCAGGTTAGGAAGTAAAGGGGAGACTTCTTCCTAGCGCTCTGTCTCAAAATGAAATGTGGGTTTGCTATGGCACGTTGCATTCTTCCATCACGTTTAGAAATCAGTAACATCCTGAAGTGCTATTTCCTGTCCCTCAGAACCATAGCGCCCCAGTCCAGCCTTGACATTCAATGGGTCATCCAGCCTGACTTAGCCACAGAACTGGGATTTATGCATGGGGAGTGGAAGCATCCAGTTCCCGGAATCGTTTCAAATGCGTGGTGCACCCTAACTATCATTTCTTAAGTTTCTGTTTTCCTTACCAATTGTCATTCTCTTCCGTTCACTACGGCAACCACACCTAAGGAAAATAAAATTTGAAATTATCAATGAACCATGGCTATAGCAAAGCAGAGCAGTCTAACTTAGCCCTTGCCTAACCCTGCAAGGTAGACCCTTGTGCTTGGCGTGGCGCATAGTGTGTTCAGTAATGGCTACATGGTTTGTCTTACTGCCATCATTTGCAAAGCAAGCTTGCTCTTTCTCTGTATGTTTTGGCTCAGATTATTCAAAACACACATATTTCTTGCATGTGTTTTGAGTTTCTATGATGTATGGACTCTACCTTAATAATTCTTTTCCCGTGTATTTTCTCTTCTTTTTCAAAATAGATCCCATGCGTGGCCCAAGAAAACTGGAAGTTGTAGAGGTGAAGTCTCGACAAATCACCATCCGTTGGGAGCCATTTGGATACAATGTAACTCGTTGCCATAGTTATAACCTCACAGTTCACTACTGTTACCAGGTTGGAGGGCAGGAGCAGGTGCGTGAAGAAGTGAGCTGGGACACGGATAATTCACACCCTCAGCATACAATCACCAACCTGTCCCCGTACACCAATGTCAGCGTGAAGCTCATTCTCATGAACCCCGAGGGGCGCAAGGAGAGTCAGGAACTCATCGTGCAGACAGATGAAGACCGTGAGTGCTTTTAAATGGCGTGTCTATGTGAAAGGTGTTCTTTCAAAACGACTTTGATTTTTAGAGCTGTTATATTGGAAACAGGTGGAAGGGCAACTTAATGTGTCTGTGCCCCCACTCTGGGCACTGATTAGGGGGGAGGGGCAGAGAGGGAGGCTTACTGTTTTTATGTAATTCAGTTTCACCCAGCGTCACAGGTGAACACCATTCATAATGGCCATTGTCATCTCCCGAGTCCCTGCCGCTCTGCCCACCCTCCACTGACCCTCACAGTTCTCTCCCTTACATCTGTCTTGATTCATTTTATTCCATGACCTCAAGAGGTTAACCAGTGCAATCTACGTGACCTTGTGCTTCGGGCTATCTATTGGAGCCTGGTGGGCTCAGCTCTGGACACACAGCAAGAGACAGAAATTTTCCCTTCTCTAAAAATCTTTCATTCTGATAGTGTGTACAGCCACATACCCCCCTTTCTTTGACTGATTATTGATAGAGCTGGTCTTGTGAGGGTCTGGTATAAATAACTACAACTGTGAGTTAATAATCACAATCGTTGTGTGAGTCTACAGGATGTTATTGTGTGGTCCCTCACCTTATCCTCCAGCTCACGCATCTCCTGACCTCTTCTGGAATGTTCCCCAAGCTTGAGAGGAGATGGCATGGGCTTCTATTTAGGGCTAGGCCCACAGTCAGTGCTTATTCTCCAAATCTTCTTAGTCATGTGACACTTTTCTATATGGCAATTCTATAGTCCTCTAAGTAGTGCTTAACATTTTTATTGTCATTTTGGATGAAGCAGTAATTGAGATATTATACTATATCAGTTCCACAAACTATTTGAACATCTTTACATGGCATTCTTCCTCATCTTTCCAATCAATATCCAGTACAGACCCAGAGCAGGAGTCCTTCCCACCTGAGCCTGTGATTTCATGGCTCTGATTTGCCCAGAAGATATCCTGACTTCTTCCCACCCCTTTCCTGTGCTGTTCCTTGAACTGTGGAGAGGGTGACACAAATCTCTCTTTTATATGTTGTAATATATGATCATATGTTATCATTCATTTTTGTATAAACTATACAAACTATCTTTAAGAATAAACCATTGTTTCTCATCAGTAGCAATTTGATGACCTAGAAGAAGACATGATGAACACCCAAAACTACCAAATCAGTCCTTGCATGAAAACAGAGAGTGTTAATGATAAACACATGATTCCTGTTTTAACTAACAATGTTGTTGAGTCAACAAGAGATGAAATGTAGCCGTTCCCACAAGACCAGATATGACTGCAGGGATAAGAACTTGCCCAACTCCTTTGGAGTTTCAAAGTGAGAACTAAGTTGGAAATTCTTTGGAATCCTGTCAAAATGTCAGACTTGTTAATTTTGGATGTTTGTTTGTTTAAATTATCTTGGTAGTCTCAGGAATTAAGCCTTGTGTTATTTGCAAATAAAAACCTATTGTTTAGTAGCTCAGCAGCATTCAGCTAATTAGAAAAGAACTATTATCTCAAATTACATTTTCTCAATAACCAACCAAACAAAAACCCAGTTCAAAGAAGATGGGAAGAAGAAAGACAAACCGAATAATTGTCCAACAATAGCAAGATTGAAGAGAAAAGCAACCGTTCACTGTGACTCTAGTTTACCCAACATCATTGTGTTCTGGAATCGCATTTACTTCAATGTTTACTTTAGCAGGAAGAGTATGGAAATCATCTTCTGATGACCATTAGCAGTGTCCCTGGACAGCACAGGTGTGGTGGCTACTTTGCTAAAACCCTGAATCCTAGAACATGTAAAAGAAGATCTTCAACCTAAGTTCATGTGACATTTTATTTTCTCTACTCAGTCTTCTGAATAGAGAACTCTATTTTTTTTATTCTAAACCATAAAATTTTTTGTGAGTCTACTTAAAGCATTCTTTTTATTACATCACTTCCTTATTTTTGCATGCGTCTATGTCACTGTATGTGTGGGCTCACGTATGTATGTCATGTTGTGTGGCGGGGGAGGGGTTGCAGGCAGGAGTTGGTTCTTTTGTTCCACTACATAAGGCCCTGGTGGGGAGCTCAGTCCATCAGCTTGGTGGCCATCAGCTTGGGTGGCAGGCACTTTCATCCACTGAGTCATTTGCCCAGCCCTACTTAAGGGTCTCTCCACCCAATACCTTCAGTGAGCATGTCTCTTCTAAGAAACTTAATAAGTTTTCTTTTTAAAAAATAAAGATGTCCTTGAAATCAACATAATTTGGATATAGCCCATTCAATTTTCAGTTGATTTCTTCTATTTCCTTTCTTCATTCTTTCATTTCTACGGAAATATTTCCAACTGTAAACAATCATGCAATACAGCATCCCCCCATACAGCTGTGCTGATACTGAGAAAAGGGTGATGTCATAGGAAACACTTTGGAGACAAACAAGACAGGGTTGGTAGCATTTTCTCAGGCTTGAACCAGCTGACGCCTGGTTTAGCTTCTGGTTGTTAAAAGTAGGCTAAGCCCAGAGTCTAGAATGTTTCCTGGTAACTCACCAGGTCCTTACTTCTTGGTTTGTTTGTTTGTTTGTTTGTTTTTAGAGACAGGGTTTCTCAGTGTAGCCTTAACATCCCTGGAACTCATTCTGTAGACCAGGCTGGCCTTGAACTCACAGGCTCTGCCTCCCGAGTGTTAGGATTAAAGGTGTGCACCACCACCATCTGACATGTCCTTATTTTTTAACACTGTGTGTAACTTTTTTTTAACATAATGTTCTACTGATTTCTTCAGCCCAGAATGAATGATTAGTTCCATATTATATATTATTCAGGTGCTGTACGTTAGAAATTGACTTAAATCCAACATCATTTTAGAAATGGAGCAAGTGAAATCCAAGCAGGACCAGCAGCTGTCTGAACTGAGTATTTTTAATTATTGGAGAGTCTTAAATAGCAGTCACCCCCACCCCATGGACATCAATAAAGAGCTTTTCTGTTAAATACTTGGCTCCATTTGGATTAAATACAAAAGCTCTCACTCTACCAATAAGCATGCCTTCAAATAAAAATGAGTTTAAAATTTGAAATCCTTCACTTTCTTTAGAAATTCCAGGCATCCGTCCAGTCTGAGACAGACTTGGTGACAATTAAAATGCTATTCATATCCTCACGCAGTCTAAAACATCTCACCAGCCTCCTTTTAAAAATCATTATTGAAATGTTTATCCATTCATGTGTTGATGAACATTTGGGGTATTTTCAGTTAATGATGCTGCTGTGACTATTTTGTAGTCTTCTGAGCAGACCTGTTCTCGGTTATCTTGAGTAATCAGTAGATATATTAGAGGATGGATGGATGGATGGATGGATGGATGGATTGATGGATGGATTGATGGATGGATGATGGGTGGAACAAATGAAGGATGGATGGATGGATAGATAGATAGATAGATAGATAGATAGATAGATAGATAGATAGCAGGGAGATGATAGGTAGATGACAGATAGTGGAATCGCTGGGTGACACCGTGTGTCTTTGTATACAGACTAATTTGAAGAGCTGCCATGTGGTTGTCAAAGTTACTGTATGATCTCACAGTTGCCCAGCACTGCATTTGGTTAGAGTGTGACTTTGATTGGCAGTTTTCGGCCAGCTAATGATGTTGAGGTCTTTTCAGGTGTAACTCGGGCAGGTTTTAAACTCTCTATCATCCTCTGCCTCAGCCTCTCCAGTGCTTGGTTTACAGGTCTGTGTAATCATTCTCATTCTTTGCATCTTTGCAAGCCAGCACTGCCACCCACCATTCCACCAGCCCTACTTGGAAACCCTCAAGGCTACACATACTCCTTCCTTCCTTCTGGAGAGATGGAAAGCAGTTCATACAAAGGCAAACAACTGAACTTCCTGTAACTGGCTCACACCTCACAGGGGAAAAAAAAGTTTAAACCGTTTCACAAGGGCAGTGTAGTTTAAATGCTGTTAGATTCCAGATTTTGAAAAGAAATGCAAATGCTATCAATGGACCATTGGGATCTGTGACCTCTATGGATAGTTAAAAGAGCTGTTTGGGAGGATCGTTTTGTGTGACCCCTACACTCATCTCTTGACTTCTTCTCCAGTCCCAGGTGCTGTGCCTACAGAGTCCATCCAAGGAAGTACCTTCGAGGAGAAGATATTTCTTCAGTGGAGAGAGCCAACACAAACATATGGTGTCATCACTCTATATGAGGTACCTTACATATTGGTTGATAATTTACTCTTTAAGTATCATGTCTTGTGATGATCTGAGCTCTCTGGCATTTTAAAAACATAATTCCATGTTTCTTTGGAGAGTTTAATGGTTTCTAAAGTCATAATAATGGTTATCTAGAAACAAAAGATTAAAAATGAGATGTTCAATTATGCATAGTTTCAAAATACATTTTAAGATAAGTTGGATCACTGTGTATTGTGTGTTGTGTATTAAGACACAGAGTAACATTTTTAAAGTCACTATTATCGAAAGTAATAATTATTTTTGAAACATGCATTGATTAGGAAGCAATCGAGGAGTCACATTCTTTCCCAGCTATGAACTATTTTTTCCCATTGATTGTAAAACAACACTGATTATCCAATTAGAAAAGTCGATAAAGTATTGTCTCCATGGTAACAATGGAAAATTCTTTTTGGGCTCCTTCATATCAGTGTTCATCCCTTAGACTTCATTGACACCATTTTGTCTGCTGAGGCGAGTCAAATAGTTGAGTGATGGTAGCAAAAGAGAATTTGATAAATTGTTCAAGAAAAAATAATAGCAATAATGGGGTTGCATCCATCTTCTCATCACTGTGAGCATCGTTTCATTGTGCCTGTTGTCATAGAAACAAGCAGGTACTTTTTTTTAAAACTAGTGTTTGTTTGAATGCAAATTCAACAAAATTATATGTTGCAAGATTTCTAAAAATTCTGACCCATCTGCATCTGGATGGGCTTGCATAGTTCTCCGTGGCCCTGGCGGGAGCCTGAGTCCATGAACTGTCAACGGTGATCACCACCAGCGCTCTCTCTGACCCTGCAGACTCCACTGATGTGTCCCACGCCTTCCAAAACAATGGCATTGAAATGCAAAAACAAATAATAACAATAGAAATCATAATAATAATTTGAAATGAACATGAAGGAAGCTAAAAAAGTGTTACTTTTAGTTTCTGATTTATTGTAAAAACATAAAGTTATGGAAATTCATGGCTCAGCTTCTATGGAAATGTTTTATAGTCAAGTCAAGAAGGCTCAATTTGTTTTTCCCTCCATGATGAAAATATTTCATATGTTGGGGCCTCTAACTGTGTTTGGAGATTTTGTAAATTCTAATCTAAGAATAACAGGAATTTTTACTGGAAAAGCTACTCTTTGAAGTTCATTTTAAGATCCAAGAGTCTATCTGCCTGTCTCCAAAGCCACAGGCTGCTACTAGACAATCAGAAACTAATAGCAGGATTCTTTCTCTCTAATCCCACCAGACATTTATCTTTGTGCGATAAGTAACTTCAGCATGAAAACAACAGGGAAAATGATGGTTCAAAAGAAGACCCCATTAATCTCTCTGACTTAGTAGCCAAGCTGTCCCAGGCCGAACACTGATCTAAACACAGCTGTGGTGCGGATGTGTGGATCTGCCATAAATCAAGCTTCTAGCAATCAGCTATTTGCAAGTAGAGCATGTTGGCTCATTTTTCCATAAATCGGGGGAAAGTGACAAATATTTGAGTTGGGTCTGAAGGACTAAATACGTTTTTCTGGGTACCACTCTCTCATTCCTTCCTAGTTTCTACATACAGGAAGGAGAGTAGTTCCATGTTCCTCAAATTAGGACTTGGATGGCATCCCAGGAGCGACTCTTCCTTTCCTGGGACCTCAGTGCTCAGGAGTCATGGTTCACTTGCCTTATGTGAGTGGAGCAGGTGACTAGTGCCATTCCAGCCTGTATGCCCTTTCTTAGGATCAGAGGCCTGTGAAACAGATACCATGCTAAGAACGCTAAGCAGCTGTCCCTGAAGAAGCAGGGACTGTCAGAACAGCGATTTCGTGCCATGGAGTGACATTAGAGTATCTGTAAAGATTGCCGGGTTGGTGAATGCTTCAGCAACAAGTGCATTCCCTTGGAGCTGTTAACATACTTAGATGATTTGGGAATAAAAAACAAAATAGATTGTCTACTATAGATATAAATGCAAGTGCTGGGCTTTAATTATTTGGGGGTTCTCTTTTCTCTCCTCTGAAGCTTTGGAAGCATTGGTGTTTGAAAAGCTCTGACAGCATCCTTTGTTTTCTGAACATCACAACATACCCCCCTTCTCCTCTTCCGTTCTAACTTCTACCCTCATCCCTTCACTAATTTGCCTTTTCTTTCTGTTCCCCTACCATCCTCTTGATCTAGCCCTTCTCATAACCATGCCTCACTTTAGCCATCCCGCTTTGTCAATTATCTTCCTGAAATCCAGGGAAGGTAGTTACGTCCATCCTCAATGACTATTCTGTCATGCTGTGGATGTAATATTATTCTCCGGATGAACCTCTTAAGGATACAAGTGTTCAAAATAAAATTAACTACTCAGTGTTTCTTTTAGTTGATAACTGCTAGAACTGGATGCAAGTCCAAATTCTTACAAGTCAGAAACTACAGTGCGGTTGTGTTTATCAATTCAGATGAACACAATTTAATGTTAGCAAAAGCATGCTCTATTACAATTCCTCATACCCTGTGTGGTCACTGGCTTGCATAGTGCAGAAGTAAATACAAGACACTTCCATGATTAATGTGCAAAGTCAATCTCATGAAAAATCTCTAACAAAAAAACTAGAGGAATTTTTGTATTACACCTTTCCAAATATGGGCAAAAGCCTTGGAAGACATGTGAAAAAGATCAGTGGGTTTTGTTTGCATAAAGCTTTAAACTACACAATGATGAAAGACATGAAAAAAGTCTAAATGTCAACAGAATGTTTGGAGTGATTATTTTCAACACTCGTGGCAGCAAATAGCCTTCTGGTTGTGATATATACAGACTTGATACAGATTAATAAGCATAATGCAAAGAGCCCATCAGGTGGAGGCAAAATGATGGGTATGAGGGTGCAACTCAGAAAGAACTCTAGCTGCCCTAGAAGCATGTGGTAGCCTACCTACTAAATTTAAATAATGAACTACAGAAATCCAAATAGGGACTAAATTTGTTTAATTTCATTAAACTTGTCTGATAGTGTATGATTTGTATAATGTATAGCTTGACCAGAGGCATGGAGAAATGTGTACATATATAGACCATTGGTGGGAAATAGATGTTGCCCCTTTGTAGGCAATCTGAAATTACCCACAACAATTTAAACATTGGATACTGAACCTATTTCTAAAGGTCTATCAGTAAGTAATACTCCCAAATGCATAGAATGTAGGCAACGCATCTCATGAATTTTACCTCTCAGTCATCAATAGTTAATTCTAGACCTATGGCCAAGAGACTTACATATCTGTAGGTTTGTACTCAATATGCATAAGACATTGGAAGAAGGCAAGAACCACAAAATGAATCAGACTTTCTCTACTAGAAGCAACTGTCCCATCAACAGCTGTGGAAAGAAGCAGGTCAGTGCCAAACCCAAAGCTCAGGTTCGAGTGTGACTCATGGAGAAAGTTAAGCTTGACTCATTGTAAAGCAGAGTGGTCCCAGTGGTCCCCAAATGGCTGATGGGGCCATTTGTGTTAAGGGTTGAAATATCTCAAGATCATGAGCCTGGATAACTGTGTGTACTTGGTCACCATTGTCTGAGCGTGGTAGTCTTAAGAAGCAGGAGTTGAGGGGGCACGTGAGGAGGTTAGCTTCAATATCCATTACCTCGTCAAAGTTGTGACTGTACTAAAGCTTTCAGAATAAAAATAAGTACAGAAGTGTTCAACATAAAGCAACCTTCCCACTTTTTCTTTCAAGTAGTAACTACTACTAGGTGCTGTAGAGATAGCTCAGTAGTTAAGAGCACTGCTTTTACTTCTAGAGGACCTGAGTTCAATTCCTGGCACCCACATGGTAGCTGGCAGCCATCTGGAACTCCCACCCCAGAACTGATGCCCTCTTCTGGACTCTGTGGGTGCTGCCTGCATGTGTCACATGGACATAGAATCAGATGCTCATATAATAGACATAAGATAAAAATAAATAAACTCTTCAAAGAACCAAAGGAACTGTGGCTACCTCTGGATCTTATCCCAATATTATCTATTATTAATACTTCTTCTTGCTTTGTTTTTCTCCTGGATTTAATGGGCCATGGTCCTCCCTCAGTGGAGGGTTTTCCCCTCTGAGAACAGAGCCTTCTGAATTTTTCACACCACTCTACTTTTTGCTCCTATGCTTCTGCCCTCCTACAGCAGTTGCCCCCCCCCCATAGTGTACTTCTGCTGTTCTTTCAGTATTTCCTTCAAATACTATAGTTGCTTGTGAAGTACCTTGGCCCTTCTGACCCCAGAAATCAAATTTAATTATCCATCCCCTTGTGTTCACAGAGTAAATTGCTCAGACCCCAATTAAAGACCTATATTTTATGCTGGAAGCAATTACCATCAGCTCCTGCTCCCTAGAAGATCCCGGCCCCCTAAAAGGCCGTTCCATTTGTCTCTCTGTGAAACTGGCACTGTAGAATTGGAGGCTTTAAGGAGAAAGGGGGAGATAATTTTAGAAGATTCTAGGCATTTGACTGCAATCAGAAATCATCCAGTATAAGCAAGTGTTCCTTCCACCTCCCCAGTTTAACGCCTTTCGTCCCCATGACTTTATTCAGGTGTCTGGGAGTGTCCCGTAAAATTACTGGGGCCCACCAGAGGACAATTGGTAGTCTTCATAGTGGCTTCATTAAAACATTGACTGCCCTCAGCCAGCAATGGAGTACTTGTATAAAAGCTTCCCCAAACTTTTCTTCTGGGAGCCCTCCCTCTGCTTTTGCTGCTGCCTGGTGCCTACTAGGTACTTAATCAGTACTTGGGAAATGACCAGCTGAAAACACGAAATGCCAGAAAGAAGAGTCGTGTTCTAGCCTGAGCCTGGCAGGATGCTGTGGTGCATTGAACGATGATGCCCTGGTCACTGCTGTTCCCTAGCGCTGACCTGGCTGAGTTTTGTAATTTCTGATATTCAGACTCCTGCAGGTTTAGGGGATGGGAGCTACAAGCTTTCTGATACTTAATGCACATTTTTGCCTTTAGGGGTAGATAAGAGAATTCAAAATTTTGTGAAAGCATGAATTAGTATTTGTTTATATTTTGTAAGGACAGAGGATCAAGGTCTATAGTTTTTACCTAATTAATAAAGGGTTGAAGCTAAAAGACGGTTACAAATATCCTATCTGACTCAGATAGGGGCCACCTGGCAGTGGGCATTGAGCTGCTTGGTGAAGCCTTTGCTTGGCCTGGACCCCACTTTGCCAGAATGAGAATGTGTGCATGCTGTAGGGCACACCTGTGTTCTCCAGTAGTCTCTTCTGGAAAATATACCAAGTACCAAATGGTTCAGGTCACAGTGGGACCAGAAAGAAGAGTAAGACATCACTTGGTCCTTCAAAAGATAATGTAATTACAGGAAACATTCCTCTGCCTCTGACATATTTAAAGCATGGCTTAAGACTAAACAGTAGATTTACCGCATCCGTGACTCATCCCCAAGTAAAGCTCCTGGACCAGCTTCAGCCGGGATCTTTGGCTGCTCTGAGTTTGGAAAGCCAGACTTAGGATGCAGATTTGAGATTCTGGCCTGAGGTTCAGGCCAGACACCTGAATTCTCGTCAGAATCTTCCTCCCCAGCACCATCTTTATGTCTGCCCCCGAATTTCTAGCCCCAGCCTAACCCTCTCTCAGACCCTGGTTCCACCATACATTCGTATCCGCGCAAACATCTCAAATGTCTGCATTCACCCTTACAGGCACCCTCATTCATTCCATTCCTTTTCATTAAGTGGGGGTTGCCTTTCGAGCAGGGCCAAAACAGGGCCACTCCTTGGCTCCTCCATACTGGTGGTCCATCGCTGGCTGGCTGCTGTCTAATTTATTCCTGTCACCGCTCTGTTCCTTTCTTGCTGCCCCACACTCCTCCTTCAGTCTGAGAAGTTGACCCTATTCTGTCATCCACACCACAGCTTTAGCCACTGGATTCTACCACACTTCCCAGTGGCTTCTCTACTCCCTTTATGAACCCCTTCAATGAAACAAAAGTCCCACCTGCCGGTCAAGAGGGTATTTTTTTATTAAACAAGTCAGATTGCTTTATTTCCACACCAGAAAGGTTCAGGTTCCTTGTTGGATGTATCCAAGTGTTCCATCTTAGTGTACAGAATCGAGCACAAAGAAGCCCATGCCAAACACTCTAACCTGCAGAGCCCACACAGGCCCTCTGTTTGTTCATTCCTTGGGTCCAGGGGCCCTCTTGCTGCAGGACTTAATCCAAGTTCTACTCTCAAATTCGTGGCCAGATAAGTCCTTTATAGTGTTCAAGTCCTTTCGGGTTTGTCAACATGTCTTTCCTCAGGAATTTTGAAGGGCTTTGTGGATCTTTCTCTCTGACGAAGCTTCTTATATTGGCATTGTGTCTGTTTCTTCCACAGTTAGTGTCTTCTTTAACTGGTATGTTCTTCTTGTTGGGTTCCTGAGTTCCACCACCACACCCAGTCCAATCCTTCACTTTCTAAAGTCAGGGCCTGGTCCGTCTGCTAGCCACAGACAGCATCAGCATCCAACTAGGATGTAAACACAATCAGCCGGTGTGAAGGTCTAAAGAGCGCAGCACAGAGACGACTTGGCACTGCTCTGGACTGGTGAGCAAGAGCAGAATCCAGAAGGCCCCCGTAAGTGTCAATGGGGCCATGCAGGCATGTCACCTCACAGAGCAGAGGACAGAATTATGCAGTGTCATGTCTTCAGAAGCGCAGCCAGAGAGGCAGGCGACCACAGGTCTGAGGGAAGAAGCTGGGCTTTTTCACGCTCGCTATGCCAAAGTCTAGACAGTAGAGTGGACAGGAAGATAATGAACTTGTCCTTTGTAGACTGTTCTCATCTCTGTAATTATCTCATCAAAACTGAGGTTGCAATCACCTTCCCCTACCATCCTGTTTGCCCAGCAGGGCAGGTACAGCATCTCAGTTTCCAAGGAGACCCCGCCCCCAGAACACAGTGCTGGGCACGTTTGGAAGCCCTCTACCAATGTTTCAAGTGTGTAAGTGAATGAATGGATGCATGGTGGAGAGCGGTTACACCTGCCACACTCCACTCCTGAGGGGTCAGGGATGGAGAGCTAAGCTAGGAAGCTGGATGGAGGAGGCTCCACCACAGTCGTCCCTGGCTGCTGGGAGAGAGCTGGTTTCTTGCCTTCTCAACTTCCTCAGCCTCTGAAGAGCCATCCGTCAGTGAGAGGGTTAACCAGAACTGCCTGACTCTGGTAACACCACCTACTGCAGTGATTAATATACATGGCAAACACTCCCTTGCCAAAGCTCAGGTGATTCAATCTAAACATTCTTTCAAAGAGGTCTTCTTAATTATAATGACATGGTGTAAATATAAGAAAAAAAAAGAATGTCAATTATCACTCCGTATAATAACAGTGTTAGTGTTCTTGCACATAAATTACAAGTAGCTTTACCTATTTAGAAGCATGAAAAGTGCTCAGTTTTGCAATTTAAAACTTTTGAATATGCCACATTTAAAAATTATGTCATTACAACTAGTAGAAGTTAGTAATCACCACTAAAGTGCGCGCTCTAGAGCGACTGATGAACTCTCACGCCGAAACCCTTCTTTAAAAAATCACTTGAAAAGGCAAAATTTAAAGGCACCTATGTTTCATTTATTTTCAAACATTCCAGCCTCATCCAAAATGAGAATGTCTATTCCATGGCAACTATCGTGAAAATACCCAGAGTCACACTGGCTGGGGGACAGCTGCTAGTCACTCATAGCCATTTAAACCTCAATTTTATTTGATTAAGATTAAATGAAATTTTCAATTCTTAGTGTCAATAGCCACATTTTGCATTCTCAATGGCCCCATAGAGCATGTGGCCACCATGTTGATTAATAGGGAATAGAAAATTTCTCCCATGACAGACAGTTCTGTTGGACAGTGTTACTCTGAAAGATGTCAATGACTGACCCATAATCGCTGTCCATTTGCAGCACCAAGACTTACTGGCATGTGTCTGGGACTTATTTTTGGAGCAGCCACATGGACAGAAATACTTCAATGTGGCCTTGTTTGTGAAATACAAGTGTCCCATTCATGTCCAAATCAGATAATGGCCAAAGATTAGAGATGGGGCCTCTATCTTGCCAGTGCCCATCAGTCTGAGCCGGTTGCCAACTTGGACTTTTTTTTCTAAATCAGCTCTCAGGACACATTGAAACCATACAATTTCACTGTGTCAGACCATGCTGAACCCATCTTTCACATTCTAACCTACTGGCTTTAAGTCCCTCCCTCTAGAGAGGTAACGACTCAGAAGGTCAGGCTGAGTTCTTATGTGTCTTCACTCAAGGTTGGAAGCAGCCTCCCATCAGAAGGCTTGTTGGATAAAAGATGAGATTGACATCTGTCTTCTCTGGCATCACCACCATGTTCTTATTCCTTTACAGATCACCTACAAAGCAGTCAGCTCCTTTGACCCAGAAATAGATTTATCCAACCAAAGTGGAAGAGTTTCAAAACTAGGAAATGAAACCCATTTTCTGTTCTTTGGCCTGTATCCTGGAACTACATACTCCTTCACCATCAGAGCCAGCACAGCAAAGGGGTTTGGACCTCCAGCAACAAACCAGTTCACCACCAAGATATCAGGTATTATATATTGATGAGTTAATGCCGTTCACCAGAAGGGTGGCTTGTGCCTTTTCATTGCTGCTATCAAGAATGCAATGATAAAACATAATGATAAATTTCATTATCATAACTCTTGGTGCCTAAAAAAGACCTGGAGGCTAAAATAAAATGCTTTGTGTTTTTAGCATCTGAGTGTATAGCCCTCCTGGATTAGTGCATGGCCAGTGTTTTAGCAGTTTGTCTTGAAGGGCTCGATTATAAAGCAGAAGGTTCTGGTGAGGTCCTCTAGCCCCCTTGGCAATTCTGGGTCACCAGAGCAGCAGTGTTGGAGAGACTCTGACGTAAGCCATGAACTCAGCAAAAAAGCAGCGCCTGTGTTCCGCTGTCCCGAGGACCTACTTTGTTAGTTGTTTTCCATCCTGCCTAGAGAGGACATGCATGCCATCAAAGACTCAGCTCTTTACAGACCCAGTTATATCACCCAACAAAAGATATAATTTGTAGAATATTTCTGGCATGCTCTTCTGTGCAGAAAATGCCTGCATTCCTTAAACAGGAGGAAATGAAGTTGCCATCTGGATATGTAACCACAATAAACAGAATTCCATGAGCATTTCCTTTTTTCTTCCTCCCTTGTCTGTCTACGAGTGGCAAAACATTTAGGTTTTGGCTTGAACTTTTTGTAGTGTGTTTTGTCAGTCATCCTTCTGTCACTGTGACAAAATGCTGGGGAAGGGGAGGGGGAGGGAGGGAGGGCAAGTGAGCAACTTGAAAGAGGAAAACTTTATTTTAGCTCACGGTTTGGAGGTCTCAGGTCATGGTTGACTGGCCTCACCGCTCTGGGTCTGAGAAGACACTACACATCTTGGTGAGAAGCAAGATAGAGCATAGATGTACTCCTCTTGGTGACTGGGAAGCAGAGAGAAGAAAGGGAAGGTGCCAGAAGAAATGTACCCTCCAAAACCTCTCCCTCTGGGTCTCATCAGTCTAAAAAGGCTGACTGCTGCCTCCAAATATCCATTCAGGTTTGAACCTGTCAGTCACTCGATCCTTTGATAAGATTTGCAGGCTCCTGATCTACTCAGTACTCAGTAGTACCATATACTAAGCACCAAGCTTTCAGCATATCAGCCCCGTGGTGGCAATTTTATATCCAAACAGTAACAGCTATAAAGAAGCAGGGGACAGCAGACAAGTTAACCAACTCCAAGGGCCAGCTCAGTGACATTCAGCATGTGTTTATGATACTTCATCCTTGGCCCTGTAAACTGTTTCATTTGAAACAGAAGGAAATCAGTGTCCAAAATTAGTGTAATTTAAGTGTTCTAGTAGGCATGGAGGGAAGGGGTTTTTATGAAATTATAATTTGGGGCTAAAGAGATGGCTCAGCAGTTAAGAGCACTGACTGCTCAGAGGACGCAGGTTCAATCCCCAGTACCCACATGACAGCTCAAAACTGTCTGTAACTCTAGTTCCAGGGGACCCAATACCCATGGCTTAACACCAATGCACATAAAATAAAAAATAAATTTTAAAGAACAGAAAAAGAAATGATAACTTAAGGGATATTTCATAGGTCATGAGGTTTTCCTGTGCACAAATTTGACTGAAGGTTCAATATACATCATTAGGCCATAGGACAATGCATGGTTTGAAAATGAGTTTTCTTTGGGAGGTTAAAAATTACATAGATGGGCAAACATATTCACAGGACTGCTATTGGTATTGGATAAAAAAGACTGCATCCTGGGGTACTTCTAATGTATTTCCTCTGATCTTAAGTGAATATATCACTATTAATATGATATCATCTATTATATCAGTTTCTCATGGTGACTCAAAGAGGAAATATATGCCAATGTGTATTACTTCCAAGTAAGTTTTATTATGTTCCCCAGTTGAGAGCATAGTCTGTATTATCATAAGAGAGAAGTTCCATTAGAAAAATAATTAAGTCTTCCCATATATTATATAAAAATTCCAATGAATATGAGTCTGGCCACCTCGAGTTCATATAATTCTATCCCAAAGCAAAGAAACTTGACATTTCAGTTGCCCTATACAAGCTCATCAAAAGTAATGATTTGACTTTTATGGTATTAAAACCACATTGCTATGCTTGGTTCCTAGCTACTTGGGAGGCCTTGGCAGGATTGCTTAAACCCAGGATTTCAGGGCCAGCCTCAGCAAACAGAGCAAGGCCTCAGCTCAGGCAAGAGGACATGGGAAGGGAATTAGGTTACAGTTCCTGAGCCCTGTTCTCTATTTTTGTGGACCTAAGAGAGAGAACTATGCTTGTATCCAACACGCAACTGCATGATGTGAAGTAACTCTTAAGGGAATCAGAGTTGATTTTGAATGTTTAGAAAAACTTAATAAATGTGACTGATAAATAACTCACATCTCCTAAATAGAAAGTTTTTTTTCCATGTAAGACTGTTGAGAAGTCTGCTCACAGAAAGCGATCTCTATCTGTCACATCAGGTACCTCTGCATACATGTGGTAGCGACTGGCAGCTACCGAGTAGCAATCCATGCCAGTCTGTCGGAGGGGGTTAGTTATTGAAGTGCACACTTTCTAGGCTATGCTGACACAACATCTCTATAAAAGAGAGAATGCCAGAAATGACTAAGGAGAGTCCATTGCTGAGAACTGTTGACATTTGATAGCTGGGAGAGGAAGAATCATTCTTTTGATTTTTTGTTTTTTAATCTGTGGCCATCAGTAGATTTCCTGTGCTCCAATGGATGGGCCCTCACCCACCCAAGTATGGGTGACACTAACTGAATTTAGTAAGTTGTTGTTTAAATAAAAGAGGAAGGAGGAAGGGAGGAAAGGAGGGAGGGAGGGAGAAAGGAAGGAAGGAAGGACATGAAGTTGGGAAGGATTTGTAGGAAGGAAAATAGGAAATAGATATGACCATGTTTCATTGTATCAAAGTGTAAAGTTCCCAAGAATAAAGAAAAAATCCTTTTAAAACATTTCCCTGTTAGAAAGAACTCAAGTTTGTGGACTATCTGGAGATCAGGGTTTTTTGAACAACATAATCCATTGTCCCTGTTTTAAGAGATGCCTAAACTAAAACTTCAGAGAGGATTAATGTATCTTCTTTTCCTTTCCCATTTTTTTTCATTCAAAGTCTGATGAAGCCCAGGCTGGTCTCAAATTTACCATGTAGCTGAGAGTGGCCATGATCCTCTTGCCTCTGCCTGTGTCACTGTGCCCCGTTTGTGTGATGCTGGGATTGAACCTGGCACTTTGTGTATGACAGGCAAGCATTCTACCTACTGAGTGTACCTATACCATGTACAGAGAGAAAGCCGAGCCCAAGCTGTTCTTCCTTCATTTCTCATGTGCTTCCCACTGCCCTGATTCTCCCAAGAGTCCTCCAAGTCATCACTAATCTCCTACAATAAGTCTCTCTGTCTCCCAACATCCTCCTTAAACCCTAGGATGGGTCTTTAGTACATGAAAAAACTTGACTTTAAAGGGAGAACCATGGTGTTCAGTTTTATGGTGCTGGTGACTACTCAAAACTTTATACGCCTTTAAGACACATTGTGTATTTCCATCACAGGACACATATTCTAAGACGATGTGTTAGCAACAGCATACTATGAGCAGATAGGATGGGCAGAGATGGGAAAATTGAGCATCACTAACCCTCATCAGCCCTTTCTGCCCCTGGCCATCCTCAGCTCAGGATTGGACAGATTGTTTGACTTGAACAAATAGCCCTGTTATTTTGTGTCTGGAATACATGTATGTAAACATTGGGTGTGGTCAATTGATAGTTATCATTTGATCAGTGTCCTTTGTAAAAAGAAGTAAAACATCACTAAGGAGATAAACAAGAAATAATGGTCTCCCATCTAATCCCCTTTCCCTAGCACCATCCATGCCAGCGTATGAATTTGAGACACCTTTGAATCAGACTGACAATACGGTGACAGTGATGTTGAAACCTGCCCAAAGCAGAGGGGCACCTGTCAGGTAAGGGGCAGAGGGAGGGCCACGCTGGCTTTCAGGGAAGGAAGCTCCAGCCATGGTCACTACTTTCTCCAGTGTTTTCTAGAGTTTCCATCCTGTTTCTTCATTCAGTCTCCTTAAAGGAGATAACTGAGCAAGATGAAGGGGCCGCCATGAAAGGGTGTATGAGTACCTACCATGTCCTCCAATAGAAGAAGGTTATTCTTTGGATGATGGGGAAAAGCTCTAGTCTCTGTAACCAAGTGGTTTGACTCTCAAATAATAACTGCCTACTGCAGTTCAGGCACCCAGGGGCAGAAGACATGTCTTCCAAAGCTTTAAATGGGGTAGGTTTTTAAAAATTATTTTTAAGCTGACCAATTTCTCAAGTGTATATTTAATGTATGATGTTTTGAAAGGAAAGAAAGTAGGAAAAAATCATGAAGTCTTTATATGAAATTAAGATTATTAACAGAATCTAGGCCCAATTACTCATTCCATTATGGTTTATGTAAATAAGAAACTACAAAGTAGGACCCTCACAGTAAATGAATTCAAAAAGGTATTTATTTTTCCTAGGAAGAATACAAAATAATTCCAGGAGTGGACTCATTCTAAGATCACTAGTCTCTATACTTGTAAATTTATTCTTATTTCAGTGGCATTTGGAGATTTAACTTTTGCCTATCTGAACAGATGTCATCCCGTTAATCTCTCATTCTAGATAGCATACCCCCATAGAAGCATCTCCGTCCATAGTACAGGCTGTGTGCACTTTGTCTCTGGGCTTCTTTTGGAGAAATTGGTCTGACAAGCCTTTTAAAACCTAACTACATGTGATCACATTTCTACTTCCATGCAAGGCAAATAGTTGGGCTTTGTTCTGCTTGGTAACACACACAGGTCTGGTTTCATGGAGTCAAAGGTCATCAGAGAATATTATTGGTTGATTAGGGTAGAATTTGGAAATCTATATTCAAAACAGCTCAAGAATTCTGTAAGAACAACTGGTGTTCTCTTCTGTTGGATTACATGTCACAGTCCCTCCTTGAGGCATTTATGCTAATCCAAAGGAGCAGTTAGCTAGAACAATGAACACAGACACACTCTTCCTCAATGTTTATGTTGTTGCCATGTGAGGGGGGGGGAGTGTTACTTGACACTCAAAGCACACATTTCGCAGGTGCTGTCCAGGACACGTGTATTCTTACAGCCATGGGTCAGGCATTTTTACATTTCAAATACCTGCTTGTCCATTAATGAAAATGTATGCTCTGGCAAGAGCCTTGGGAACATCACTTATTTTCTGACCAAACTGGTGACTTTTCCAGACTCAGCAATAATGAGGACAGTATTGTTTTTTCTGTGAGGTATCAAGGTCAGAGGGTCAGTGGTCAACAAGATTCATGCCCACAAATGGAAGGAATCGAGGATGCTAAGGGTCCCTCCAAACCAGCTAGCGGTGCTCTCTTGGGTCCTACAAAGCCTTGCTTTCTACCTTCTGTCCTCCCAGACACCTACCCACGTCCCCACGTGGGTCTTTCAAAATCTATGCTTTGAAGTAGTTTCTCTTTGATCCTTCTATCTTTTTTCCTTCCCATTTTCTATTATTTTTCTTACTAAGTTCTTGATTCATTCTTTATTTTTATACATTTGTTCTGCTTTTGCAGGCCTTAATGGTTAGTTCTAGAAAAGCTTATGCTTTCTATTCTTATATCTGTTAATACACACACACACACACACACACACACACACACTTGAACGCTTATCAGACTCCTACACAGAGAGCCTATTCCACAGACTGTAAGGTCAACTTTATGAAACCCATCTCTCTTAAATATAAGAAGGCTTGAGTTTCCACAGTGGTCACAAAGTCTTCAAGTTCCAAAGTGCTCTGACCACTGTGGAAACCTAAATCTTCTCCCCAAGTTGACTAGAAGAATGCTGTTTTCAAATGGGCAGATTGTCTCGCACACGTTTGAGAGGGGAAACAATCACAGCCTCACCTGTCAAGGTTTTATTCTTCATCCTTTCATAACAGCAAATGTTCCCTTCAGGAGACACACTGTGTAGAACAACATAGTGGCCTGATTATCCATTGAAAAGATAGAAGACCCATGTAGCTGCCAAGACTGCTTTGGAAGAAAATTTCCACAGTTCCCGCAAAATGAATAGGATTTGTTAAGCTCTCAATTTCCTTTAATGTTTAGAGAGATAAGAAGTCTGATTGAGAAATCATATGGACCTACAATAGAAAGCCATTGTGTAGATTAAAACACTGAGCACATCTGGAAATTTGCAAAATGCACATGAAATCATCAAACTGCCATACAAAAATCGCCTCCCAAATGATAAAACAAAAGCGAGAATGAAGCGAGGAAAGGAGGAAACATCTGTTTGCCTTCCTGGGTTTTGAACAGTATTGTGTGTTCAAAAAAATACGACCAAAAATACGCGTGATTTCCATTGATTTGATCTCTCTTTGATCCACATTCACCGGTGTTGGGATTCATTTCTCCTTCGTTTGTATTCTTCCCTGGGTGGGTTTGTGGTGTATCGATTCTACTCTCAGCTTGTTTAAGACAGATTCCACAAAACTTCACATAGCTCTTCGTGTAAATGATTGGTGTCTTTTTATTGACCAACATATCAGCTCTGTCACATAAAATTATTTAAATCCAGAGATAGCTAAGAAGAACAAAAATCCCATCATTCCAGCCAGCAAACTAGCACCAGGAAAAGAATTTAAATGTCTTTATATGGATTCAGTTAGTTCCTCAACGGGACAGGGAAGGGTTTAATTTTCTTTTACTTGATTAGAGTTGTCTCATTTCTGCCTTCTCTCCATCATTCACTCTGCATAAGCATGACCCAGTAGAGAAAACCCCTGGAATTTGGCAGAAAGGAAGCAACTAAATAAAGGATGAGTTGTATGTAAACTGTTGCAGTTTTCTTATGCTAACAAGAGTGCTTGGTGGTGGTGGTGGTGGTGGTAGTGGTGGTGGTGGTGTGTGTGTATACATGTATGCACATCTATGTGTGTGTATACATGTGTGCATATGTGTGTGCGTGTGTGTATACATGCATGTGTTCATGTCAAGGGAAAGTAGACAGTGGAGGAATTCTATCTACTTTCAGAAAGCACTGTATGAGGGAAGTTTCTCTGACTTGGTCTGCTTGCCCCCAGCTAGTCATCGGACATGGTGACTGGTAAGGAGGGTCAGCACGAGCATGCCTGTGAGCCCAGGTCACCTCAGAAAAGAGAGTCATGGCATGGCAAGTATCGGTGAAAGACAGAAGAGGGGCAGACACCCCACTTGAAGATGCTTCCCATGTTAGAAATGATGTTGACTTACAGGTGATGATATTTGAAAACATGGCGACTGTGAAGCATAAACAGGGTGGGTTTGACACAGTTTATGGCAGGAGTGGCCCATTTGTTTGTCTCTCTGCCCTTGGCTCTGAAAGAATCTTCCATCAACACTATCTATTTGGTGCGTACAAATGTGCCATCGTCACAGGGTTCTTCTGAGGGTTGAGGGAGCCAGTATGTTTTAAAGTAGCCTGTCCATACTAACGGCTGCACAGGGTGTGTGCCCGCTGTGCTTCTTCATAAAAACACCAGGAGGCCATGTGGACGGGCCCCAGTCCTCCAGCCTCTCTTCTGCCTCATTTTATTCAAACCCCAAATCATGGAAAATAGAATCTTACTTAAAAATTGAACATCTGACAGTTGTGTCCATCAGCAAAATTATAAATGCAACTTCTGTAGTTCTCATTTCCATGCTGCACCTTAATATTTGATGGCATGCTGCAATCTTTGTGCTTGAGCAGGTGACTGGGACTTGATCTCAAAGGAACAAGTTCTCCTGACTCCATCTGTATATGAAAGCTCTTAAGAAAAGGCAGTGGCCTCTCTTGTTTCTTCCCCAGCCAGTGCCTAGCCATATCTATCATCTGCTCTGTTGCGTAAACTCAGCTGTGAAGCAAAGGGAACTGCTTCTTTGCCTCTGTGGGACAGTAAACTCCACGATGAGGGGTGCCTGGGAAGGGTGACTCAGAAGCAGCTGGCATTCTTGCTCTTTACCACAGTGAGTCTCTTCCCAGCTTCTTGAAGATGGGAATTTGTGAATCCCATCCCATTGGGACACCTCTTTCTAATTATGTTGAAATCCATTCCCTACATTCCATAGTTTTGTCTTTTCATCAGTCTTCGGTTAAACTCTAGGTATGAGGAGCCAGCTAAGTAGCAATTTGAAAATGTGTTTTAGTTCTTACAGTTGACTCACATAGGTGTGCACCTCTGGTTGTGGCTTTCTTGATGAGTCAACTGGGCCCACAGTTAGTCACTTGTGGCCACACTCTGCACACTCATTCCACTCATGAGGCACTTACCAAGTCGGTGTCTACTGTGGCTTGAAGAGATGTGTGGTTTCATGTCACTGTCATGAACTTTGCCACTGGAGGTCAGACTGAGTCATAGTGTAAACCCAAAGAAAGAGGATTCCTGAATGGAATCCACCTTCCTTCCTGTCTGCTCATCGCGGTGCAGATACTCACAAAGAACAAAAAGCCATTCTCTCGTTAAACCTCACCTTTTCAGATGCCAGAATTCTCTTGTTTGATGATCATTTATTATAGCCTAATCTCCTCAGGGTGTGATCAGAAACTGACAAGTCCCTCACTGCCCACCACCCCCTTCCATACATTTTTAGGGAGTTTACTTACATTAAAGATGAGATTCCAGAATCCTGTGTGCTGCCAGGGATCAAAGGTCATTTTTTTTATCAATGATGCTTTTTGGGTGACCATGTCAGTCACCTTTTTGAAAATTCATTTTGGAAGCAATTTGTTCTTCAAGAATCCTTTGTAACAAGCTTTAAAAATTGCAGAGAAGAGATCATAGAAACAACAATAATAATTAATAATAACAATAATAACTAACAATCATAAGTGTGTTATGGCATTTATACAATGAAATTTAAATTACCTTTGCCTCCAACTCTTATTTAATCATACCTTTA